GATACATAATGAAAAAATATTAGACAAGTATTTTTTTTATATTTTGTCGTATAAGAAAACAATACTTAGATAAAACGGAGTTACGTTTACGAGTCGTTACGTCACGCTATCCTACAAAATACGTTTTGTTTACGATATTTCAAATCAATAATTATATCGTCGAAAGTATTTCATTTTGTAAGAAAAGAAAAAATACGTGTCTAATGTATTAAAATAATCTACCAGACGGACATTACAATAAAAACTAGTATACTGCCCTATTCAGCTAATATCGCCTAGGTAGATACTTACCTACCTAGGTGCTACTTATGCGTCGCGGAGAACCTAAAGGGTTACCGGGGCTCCGGCTCGACGTGCAGGAGAAGGAACGGGGTGGTTTTTAGTCAGTAAGAGTCTGACACTCCCTCCCGCCTCGCTCAAGCGGGAGCAGCCATTCGATGATTTTCCCCCCTTAAAAAAAAAAGGTGCTACTTATGTAAGTAGCTAAGAGTTTTATTTTAAAATAGGTATTAAGGGCAGGTACAAATGGAGCTTTTTACTTGTAGGTTAATGTTTTCATTGTGTGTGTCCCCCATTAAGGAAAATATAAGCGTGATGTTATGTTATATATCGTTGCCTAACGATAATGACACTTTATCAATACCTGCCATCGAAATTACTTAACTTGGAAATAGGTCGCGCTCTAGTTTAGTAAATGAACCAAGTTTAAATGTTGATTTTGAATAAAAATATTAGAATTAAGTAATGTAAATAGAGGAGGCAATAAAATCAGGAACATTATACCTAAGTTTCAGGTGATCAAAGGGCTGGGCAAAGGTTAAGCATTGCCCTTCAACGTGGCAATGCTGCCAGTCTTTTGGGCACCCTACCTCACGAAAGCGATGAGGAAATTTTTTTTTGATGCCTTAACTCGTCGAGTACCGGTTTTGTAGACACAATTATAGAACAATAGGTTGCGGTCACCGGTGACCGCTTGGTGTTTGACAGTTTAAGGTAGCATCATTTTTATTATTATTACTTTTTTAAGGTGTAAATATTTTAGTTTTTAGTTAGTTATATTTTAAGTTGTATATGTTTATTTATTCAATTAACTTGAACACAAATGCATCAAAACCAAAAAAAAAAGTTTCAGAAATATTATGATGAGTATCAATGTGTTCCCGTTACGGTGGGTGAAGTGGCTAATCAATAATTTTATACTGGGTTCGGATATGTTTATGGTTCAACAAGAATGGAAACTAGGTACTTTTATCACTAATTAAAATATGGTAACGATTGGTATTCATTGTCAGTACGTATAAGAGATACATTTAATTATCAAAACATGAAGAAGAATGTCTCGTTGACAGAGTGGTCGCAAGTGCGACCACTCGGGTTCGATTTCAAGGCAAAGTATTAGAGGGCTTTAAAAAAAATCAGTAGTAGCACGGAGATTGAATTTATGCCCAGTATATGCCAATAGGCTCACCCCTCATTACATGGGACTCATAACATAAATAGTGAAAAGTGGGTGCCACATTGTGCAGTGGCACTAAGAGCCGTAAAGTGCACCTCTGCCTACTCCTCCGGGGATAAAAAGCGTGATGTTATGTTATGTAAAAGACGATTTTAATTTGCACAAGAAAATGCATTCAACGCTTGCATCAAACTGAATACCTACTTAATATTGAAAAGGAAATTTTAAAAGAAGCCAGAAAACTTTTAAACGGAAGCTCTCGGGCTGTCAGCTTGAAGCTGAGATAAAATAGGGTTTTCTTTAATAATAATACGAGTGAAAAGCT